GTCTTACATTTAGGTCTTTGTTTCATTTGGGTCTAATTTTTGTATATAGTATAAGGGCCCAACTTCATTCTTCTGCGTTTGGATAAAGTTTCAACAGCCATGTTTGTTGGAAAGATTGTCCTTTCAGTCATATGGGAACCCTTTGTCAGAAACCTTTTGATCATATATGCAAGGATTATGTATCTGGACTTTATAGTCTGCATAAGTCTTTATAAAAGTCTTTATGTATGCATGTCTCTAATATATTTTTAAAATTTTTGTGTCTGTGTCTGTGTGAATGTATGCCACGTATGTGTAGATGCCTCAGGAGGCTGGAGGCATCAGATTCCCCCGGAGTTGGAGTTACAGTTGGTTGTGAGCTGCCTGATGTGGCACTGAGCCTTGCATGTCTCTTTTTATGTTGCCATTTCATCAGTGTGATCAAATACTTGACAGAGACATGGGAAGAATGGTTTGTTTCCTCATTGTTTTAGAGGGTTGTAGTCATCTAAGTACTTGACAGAAACAAGGGACAAAAGATTTATTTTGGCTCACAGTTTCAAGGAATCTCAGTCTAACATGGGTGGAAAATGTAGAGTGGGGAGGCTCCATCTTTGGTAGCTGGTGTGGTTTTTCTTTATATTGTGATTATACAGGAAGCAGTGCTTGACTAGAACATAATGCCTTGATTCTGTAGCCAGGTCCCACTTCTTAAAGGCCTTTGAGTCAGTTGCTGAGGCCCATCCACTCAAAAATGAACCTGTGGGGTAGCTAGCATTTCAGATTCAAACTGTAGCACTTGTTTTCACTCAAGGACTGCAGTTTTGGTTGTTACAACTTTGTAATAAATTTTCAAACCTAAAGGTGTGAGACCTCTACTTGTTCACTTGTTCTGATTATTTGGATCTTTTAAGATTCCATTTGAATTGTAAGGTGGATTTCTATTTCTTCCCCCAAATCTTTGGAATTTTGATAGGAATTTCATTAATTTTGCATGACCGTGGTAATATTGGATTCCTCTTTCTATTAAATCTTTGACTCCATGAATCTGTAGTATCTTTGGAATTGTGCGTTTATTTCTTTTGTGGTTTTCAATATATAAACTTTTAACTTCCTTGGTAAATTTATTCCTAAATATTTTATACTTTTCAATGGTATAATTAATAGAATTGCCTTCTTAATTTTCTTTTAGGATTCCTCATTGTTAATGTGTACTTTTTGTATACTGAAACTTTGTTGTAATTGTTTCTTAATTTTGATAGTTTTTTCGTTTGTTTTATCATTTTTGAGACAGAATTTCACTATATAGCCCAGGCTAGTTAGAATTTGCTAGACCTGAGGTGGTTGGGGCTCATTAGTCTCCTTCAGCCTCCCGAATACTGAGATAGCAGGCATAACAGGCCTGCACCACAGTGGCCAGGATATATTATCATGTTGTTTTTTTTAATTCTTGTATGAAATCCTTTAGAATGTTTTACGTAAAGGAGCATGTTATCAGCACGGATTGTGTCACTTCTTCCTTGCCATTTTTGAGGCCTTTTATTTTTTCACCTGCCTGATTGCTCTGGATTTAACTTCTAGTACCATTTTGAATAGAAATGGCTAAACCTGATGTCCTTGTCTTGTTCCTGATTTTAGAGGGAAATTTTGAGTCACCCTTGAGTATATTAGCTATGGGCTTTTCCTATATGACCTCTTGATGTTGAGGTAGTTTCCTTGTATTCATAGTTTGTTGAGTGTTTCTAGAGGGAGATGATTTTGATTTTATTTTTCTTTTTAATATTTTATTTATTTTATGCGTATGAGTATATTGTTTTCATGCATGTGAGTGCCACCCGTGTCATGCAACACCATGGAAGTCAGAAGAAGGCTTTGGATTCCCCTGGAACTGGAGTTAAGGATGGTTCGTAGCCACATGTGGGTGCTGGGAATAGAACTCAGGTCCTCTGCAAGAGCAGTCAGTGCTCTTAACCACTGAGCCATCTCTCCAGCCCCGATTTTGATTTTTTTAAATCCATTTTCTGTATGAAGATGATCATCCTCCTCTCTATCATTCTATTGATTTATGGTTTATTGTGTTGATTTTTACTATATTGAATTATCCTTGCATTTCTGGCTGACTGCTTTTATTTTTAAAAGCTTAGCTAAACTTATTTTGCCTCTGACAGCTGGAAAAGGTCCTACAGCAAGGAGACATTGGAGAGTGTGCAGAACCATATATGATTTTCAAAGAAGCTGATGCCACCAAGGTACCATGTTATGCCACCTGTTTCCTTCATATTACTCCTTTTGTTATTTGGGGAAAACATAAAAAGCCTATTACAGTTTTCACTCATAATTCTTTTTTTTTTCTTCTGTTTGGTTTGCTTCCTTTCTTCCTGCTTCTCTATTTCCTTTGTCATTTAGTCAAAAGTTTGATGAAACTTTTTTTCTAGCACAAAGTATTGTTGGGCTCCCTCTGCCTCCTAATAGTTAAGGAGTATAGTAACAATAGGAAATCAAGTCTGTTTCTCTAATATGCCCAATATCTAAAATTCAGATAAACTTACAAAAGTGAAAAATTATTGACTAATTGATACTATTCTAGATACCTTAACTATAAGAATACAAGTGTGGGGCTGGAGAGATGGCTCAGTCGTTAAGAGCACTGGTTGTTCTTGCAGAGGACCCAAGTTCAAATCCTAGCATCCACATAGTGACGAACAGTCATCCCTAACTCCAATTCCAGGGGACCTGATGCTCTCTTCTGTCCTCCATGTGCATTGTACAACCTGGGTACACTTACATACATGCAGACAATACACTCATACAAACATTAAAAAAAAGAAAAGAATGCAAGTAATCATGTAGTTCAGTAGAGCACGCACTTGCCTAGCATTTGCAAGGACCTAGGTTCTATTCCTAGTATGAGGGGAAGAAAAAAAGTACCTTTCAGATGTCAAGACACAAGGTATTACCTTATAGCATAATTCTTTCTACAGATGTGTGTGTATGGACTAAGGCATTGAAATTTGTTTGTGATTATGTCATCTCAAAGAGCACATGTCAAGCATATTTATGTATTGAAAGTAGTATTTTAAGAAAGGATGCATAACTGAAGCCTATTCAGCAACTGGCAGCTGTAAGATATTGTAGGTTATGATTTGTTCAATTCCGTTTTGCTGTAAAGGATGGAAGTAGTTGAGGTAATTTTAAATAGTCCATAATTTACAGCAACCATGAAGTGGAAGCAGGGACTCAAATAGGTCAAAGATAAGTCCAGAATTATAATAAAGAAAAGAAATAATAATAGTAAAAATAAAAAAGAGAAAAAAATAATAGAAAAGAAATACAATAAGGAAAAAAAAATAGTACAGGAGAACTAAACTTTGGAAAATGAGAAATAATCCAGTACAATATGCCCATTTTGAAAGTTGTCCTGAGACTGAGATTTTAGGCTACTTCTGAAACCTCTATCACTTCTCTCACATATTCTTTCCATATAATGAGAGTAAGGTATACTCTAATGAGTATCCTGCATTGGGACTTGGAGCTAGTAAAAGATGAAAAGCTACCAGAATAGTAGAATATTTATTGCTGTATCTATTGTACCTCCAAAAAGAAGTTCTTGCTTTAAGAATCTAAATTCCAGGCTGAGGATGTATATTAGTAGGTAGAGTGCTTGCTCATTGCATAATAAACTGGGTGTTTTGGCAGATGCCTATAATCCCAGAAATCAAGGTGGTGGTGGTGGTGGTGGTGGTGGTGGTGGTGGTGAAGGCAGTAGGATGAGATGTTTAGGGAAACATCCATGTAAGTTTAAGGAAAACCTGGAATACGTGAGATCTTGGATCTTTACCCCAACAAAATAAGACACGACACGACATGACACACTCCTGGCATGGTGGGGCATACCTTTAATCTCCAGCATTGGGCAGGCGTAAGCAGGTAGATCTCTGTGAGTTCTGGGCCATTCTGGTCTATGTAGTGAGTTCAAGGCCAGCCAGGGCTACAATGTGAGATCCTATTTCAAAACAAATAAGCAAGCAAACAAAAAACTAAACACACACACACACACACACACACACACACACACACACACACAAAACAAACAAAAAACTCATCAGTAAAGAGTACTTGCTGCT